GAAAATGAAGCACATGAGCTACCCTACACGAGCACTTAAAATATCAATTTTCATAAAGCGCTTGTAAATTAAAATTGATAGATTTGTAACTTTGGATGTTTCCTTTCTTCGTCCTCTTCTTATTATCCTCTTCTTCTTATTTCTTATTATTCTTCTACTGTATTCTTCTTTGCTTGGTCTCAAAACGTGCTCGGCTATCATGCTCTTACTTCGAGATGATGCTGAGGTCTGCTGGGCTACTTTTAGTATCTCTCCCTGAACCCCGAACTTTATTATCCCCTAGTGTTTATTCTCACGGGCATGAGGTTAATCCAAGTCAGAAGACCCCCGACGGTCGTCCCTTCTGCTCTCTTTTCGCCCCTGTTCGGTTCGCCCTTGGGAGGGCTTCCAGGGCCGCATCCATCCCAGGAGCCAAAGAAGGTCTGCAGATCTGAGTACACGGTTAAGTCGGGCCTGTCCCTCTACAGGAGGAATATTTCAAAAATAGTTTTAAACAACAATCAGGGGACGATCTGCTCAGCATGTTTTGCTTATGTTTGAGCATCGTTTGACATTGCTTTATTTCTCGTCCAAAATCCGCCTGTCGGGGGACATGCCCGACCTAACTCTCCGGCCCTCCCGTCGAGGCACATGCAGGGCCTGTGGATGGGCACCCTGGCGCTGCTGCTGCCCCTGCTGGCCGTCCAGCTGCTGCTATGACCACTGCCGCTCGGCCGCCACGAGGGCCAGGGCCCTCCCGGGCGCAGAGGAGGCGGCCAAGCACCACCGTCAGTCCTCCTCCGCCGCCTCCTCCTCCTCCTCCTCCTCCTCCGCCGCCTCCTCCTCCTCCTCCTCCTCCTCCTCCTGCTCCTCCTCCTCCTCCCTCCTGTACCACGGCAGTACAGGGAGACCCCCGACTCAGTAGAGCGGGCTGGTCGGTTGTCCAGGTGGACCCTTTGCGGCCCGCTCCCACGGCCGCACCAGGCGTCAGATCTTGCGGAGGCCTTCGCCCTCCGCATGTATCTGACGCACGTGGCCTTGGGGCCCTACTGCTTCCACTCGGACTGCGCCTGGGTGGTTTCCAGCTTCGAGCGCGGACGCGCCGAGACCACTGGAGCCCAGTGCGAGGCAGCCGACCTCTGGACGCGCATCTGACATCGTGTGGACGACCTAGGTGGCGACGTCACGGTTGTGAAGATCAAAGGCCACGCTCGACGATGTCACGTACCGTCGAGCGTGGCCTGATCAAGCGCTGGGGGAATCTCTACGCCGACCTCGGCGCCCGACAAGGTGCTGCCCTCCACCCCACGGACAGTGCCGCGGTGGAGCGGGCCAAGCGGACCTTTCACTTGGTGACGCGTGTCGCCAAGTTTTTGGCTCGGGTGCTCCGCTCAGCGAACCCCAGCCAGCAGGATGCGCCGCGACACGGCCACCTGCGACGTGTTCGGCGCGGAGGGACAGCCCCCGCGCTGACGGCAGACGTGGTGCTGCCCGCTGGCGTGCACGAGCCTGCGCCGTGCGGCAAGGGCTTCCGCTGCTGCTGCTGCTGCTGCTGCTGCTGCTGCTGCTGCTGCTGCTGCTGCTGCTGCTGCTGCTGCTGCTGCTTCCGCGTCGCCAGGGCGCGTGATGGCTACACGCCTGCGGCGTGCAGCCCAGGAGGTGGCCACCGCGTATGGTGCGTGGGCCCTTTCCTTTTCTGCGCGAGGTGCGGAGCGCACTCGAGTGAGAACGCTCAGCTCCTCGCGCAGCCTTGCCTCGGGTTTGTGCCTCCACAGACGCGGCCCCGCGTGGGTCGCCTGTGGGAGGGCAAGCACCCGCGCACTGGCTTTTCTCTGCCATTGGCCAGCGGCCAGGTTAGGCCTCGGCCGTTCGCGGACTTCGTCCTCGACAGCCTGGTCGGTGACCTGATAGTCGTGGACGAGGCTGCGGACGGGTTGTAGGCCCCTGGCTGCGCCTGCTGGCCCCCCCTTTGGGGGAGGTGCTCGGGCCCTTTTTCCCACGGTCGGGTTTGTGCCCGAGCCGCTTAGCTGTGCCTGCACGCGCGGCGTCGCGCCTGATGAAAAATTCCTCGTCCTCCTCCTCCTCCTCCTCTTCCTCCTCCTCCTCCTCCTCCTCCTCCTCCTCCTCCTCCTCCCTCGACCGGGCGGGTCTGTGCACCGTCCTGGAGCCCAGGGCGGCCGCGGCCAGGGGTGCTGGCGTGTAGCCTGCCTTCGGCGCGTCGGCAGGGGCGCCTCTTACTCGCGCTTCGCGGCTCGGCTCCCGATGCCTCCTCGTCCTCCTCTTCTCCCTTGCGGGGCGGCACGAGAGCGCGAAGCTGTGCGCGCTTCGCGCAGCGCGAAGCGCGAAGCGCGAAGTCCGGCGCCCTTGGTCGGGAAGCAGCCGAGCAGACGTTCGAGGCTTGGGAGTTCGTTCTGGGCCTCTGCAGGGGTCGGGGGGCTTCCAGGAGCCTCCAGGGACCGCCAGGGGCCTCGAGGAGGACCTCCCCGCACTCCATCCGAGAAGCAGCAGACGCAGACTGTGCATCGCCCTTGTTCGCATGTTTTTGCGCCCCGGGGGCCTCGAAGAGGGCTTCCCCCGCACTCCACCCAAGCAAGCAGCAGACGCTGGATCGCCCCTGTTCGGCGGTGGTGCCTCGAGAGGGCGGCCCGCCTGGCCGCTTCCTGGGCCCCGCCGGCTCTCGGGGAGCAGCCGCGCGGCCGTGGCGCCGTGGCACCCTCAGCTGGCACCAGAGCGCTGCTTGCCCCGCCGCCACCGCGGCAGCGCAGAGGAGCCAGGGGGGGGGGGCAACGTGTAGCAGGGCTCGAGCGAAGCGGTGTGGTGGCGGTTTTTTCCCGGAAAGGGCGTGGGCCCAGGGTTCTCTTTTAGTAGGTAAACCTGTCCCCCGGTGCCAACTTGAGGGAGGCCGGCGAATTTTTTCCCTGATAAATAACGAGGTCGAAGGAGGCAGGCGAATTAAAATTTGAGGATGTCTCGAGCGAAACGCTTGTTTTTGAAATCCCGATCGATAAATCACAGGGTGCGGGCCACTTTTTCGTGTGTTGAGGATGTCTCGAGCGAAACGCTTGCTCCGCAGAGTTTGCCGAGGATGTCTCGAGCGAAACGCTTGTTTTGCAGAGCCGACCGCGACGCGGAAAAGCGCCCCGCGCGAAGGAATTTCGATTATGTCTCGACTAATTCCTTTGTTTTTGTACGATTTCCTGGAATTTTGGCAGGATGTCTCGAGCGAAATGCACGACCCCACCCTAGCACGACCATACCCCAGCACGACCACACCCCAGCACGACCAGACCCCAGCACGACCCCACCCCAGCACGACCCCACCCCAGCACGACCATACCCCAGCACGACCACACCCCAGCACGACCCGACCCCAGCACGACCCTACCCCAGCAAGACCACACCCCAGCACGACCACACCCCAGCACGACCTCACCACAGCACGACCACACCCCAGCACGACCACGCCCCAGCACGACCACGCCCCAGCACGACCACGCCCCAGCACGACCACGCCCCAGCACGACCACGCCCCAGCACAACCACCCCCCAGCACGACCACCACCCCAGCACGACCACGCCCCAGCACGACCACCCCCCAGCACGACCACTCCCCAGCACGACGTTTGCTATTCCTGTATGACCACACCCCAGCACGAACACCAACCCAGCACGACCCCACCCCAGCACGACCCAACCCTAGCAAGACCACCCCCAGACACGGACCACACCCCAGCCACGACCTCACCACAGCCAAAACACGACCAACACCCCAGCCACGACCACGCCCCCCCAGCACGACCACGCCCCCCAGCACACCAGACCACGCCCCAGCACAACCACACCCAGCACGACCACCCCCCCAGCTACGACCACACCCCAGCCACGACCACCCCCCAGAACACGACCACACCCCAGCACGACACTCCCCAGCTCACCCACGACCACACCGCCCCCACCTTGAGTGAGTGGATTGCCCGTGCTGGCCTGGAAATGTTTCGTGGGGTGTCTAGTCGAATGTTGCGCGGGGTGTTCCTGGAAGTTTCTGGAGGTTGTCTCGCGCAGAATGTTTCGTGAGGTGTCTCGTGGGATGTTTCGTGAGGTGTCTCGTGGGATGTTTCGTGAGGTGTTGCCCCGTTGGGTATCGTGAAAACGTGCCCATGCTCCACATGTCTATATCCCTTTCCGGGTTCGTGGGTCCATCATGTCTGGACCGTCTCCACGTTGAGTTTGGCTCTGCAGCAGAGGCGGAACGAATACAGAGGGAGGGACGACGAAAGCAAAGCGGAGACGAAAAGCACTGTTTGGCTCGAGCCCTTGGGGGTAACTGCCGCGTGCGGCAGGTTCGGGCCGCGCCGACGCGGCGGCGGCGCTCCCCGTGCCGACGTCGTCACAGCACGAGCTCGCCGAAGGTGCAAACCTCGGGGCCAGTATCGCTCCTGTTCTGCTGCTCCTCCTGCTGCTGCTGGTGCTCCTCTCCCTCCCGCTCCTCGTCTCGGCCGTGAAGGCCGCGAGGCCCGCCTGTCGGCCGGCGTGGGTGCCGAGCCGAGGCGATCGAGGGGCAGCTCTGGATCATGCAGATATATTCTCCACTCCCTGTGCTGTGTACCGTCCCTGCCAGAGGAGGACGAGCAGGAGGCGGACATGGAGGCCTTGGGGCCGGCGCGTGAAGATCTGGTCCAGGTTGATTTGATTCCATTGTTCTCAGCATCGGTAGCATCATCATCAGCATCATCATCATCACCATCATCATCACCACCATAGTCATCGTCACCATCACCACCATAATCAACATCGTCATCATCATCGTCATCATCAGCATCGTCATCATCATCATCATCGTCATCATCATCATCATCATCATCATCATCATCATCATCATCACTATCATCATCATCATCATCACCACCACCACCATCACCAGCATCACAATCATCGTCACTGGTCATCGTCATAGCCGTCGTCACAGTCGTCGTCGCGCCATCACTGCCATCGTCAACGTCCTCATCGTCCTCACGCTTCTGCACGGTTCTCCTCCTTTCAGGAGGGGAAAACACAGACACAATGAATCGTCGACTCCCAGGAGAACATGGGAAGTTAAAGGGAAGTGGGGGGGGAAGACGAAAATCGAAAAATATGGAAACAGAGGGAATCCTGGGATCTTTGTGTATCCATCTTTGTGTGTCCTTGGCCCCGAGGTGGTGGACGCGGGGCCAGACGGCGAGGGCTCCTGAGACGGACCCGCGGCCGCGCCTCGGCCTGCCTCGCGCCGCGCTGCCGAAGCCGCACAGCCCGGCCCATCCTCCCCAGACCTCTGCGTCTTCGAGCGCCGAGATTCGAGGCGTGAGGCTTCCAGGGAGCATTTTTTGGCTTGGGGCCTAGTGGGCATTATAGCCCCCGCCCCCCCCTTTAACGCAACGCCCCTCCCCCCCCAGTGCGCTCCGGGCACTGCCGCCATGCGCACGGCGGGGGGGGAGGCGATACATTACACCACCCCCCTGGCCCCCCACCCTATCATGCCCATTGTCGCCGAAAATAAAGAGACGCGCTCTTGCCCATCCTCCCCAGACCACTTCGTCTTCGAGCGCCGAGATTCGAGGTTTGAGGCTTTCAAGGAGTGTTTTTCCCGGAAAGGGCTGGGGCCCAGGGTTCTCTTTTAGTTGGTAAACCTGACCCCCGGTGCCAACTTGAAGGAGGCCGGCGGATTTTTTCCCTGATAAATATCGAGGTCGAAGGAGGCCGGCGGATTAAAATTTGAGGATGTCTCGAGCGAAACGCTTGTTTTTGAAATCCCGATCGATAAATCACAGGGTGCGGGCCACTTTTTCGTGTGTTGAGGATGTCTCGAGCGAAACGCTTGCTCCGCAGAGTTTGCCGAGGATGTCTCGAGCGAAACGCTTGTTTTGCAGAGCCGACCGCGACGCGGAAAAGCGCCCCGCGCGAAGGAATTTCGATGATGTCTCGACTAATTCTTTGTTTTTGTACGATTTCCTGGAATTTTGGCAGGATGTCTCGAGCGAAATGCACGACCCCACCCTAGCACGACCATACCCCAGCACGACCACACCCCAGCACGACCAGACCCCAGCACGACCCCACCCCAGCACGACCCCACCCCAGCACGACCATACCCCAGCACGACCACACCCCAGCACGACCCGACCCCAGCACGACCCACCCCAGCAAGACCACACCCCAGCACGACCACACCCCAGCACGACCTCACCACAGCACGACCACACCCCAGCACGACCACGCCCCAGCACGACCACGCCCCAGCACGACCACGCCCCAGCACGACCACCCCCCAGCACGACCACACCCCCAGCACGCCACCCCAGCACGACCACGCCCAGCACGACCACACCCCAGCACGACACACACCCCAGCACGACCACACCCCCAGCACGACCACACCCCAGCACGACCACACCCCAGCACGACCCCACCCCAGCACGACCCCACCCCCACGCACCCCAGCAAGACCACACCCCAGCACGACCACACCCCAGCACGACCACACCCCAGCACGACCACCCCAGCACGACCACGCCCCAGCACGACCACGCCCCAGCACGACCACGCCCCAGCACAACCACCCCCCAGCACGACCACCCCCCCAGCACGACCACACCCCAGCACGACCACCCCCCAGCACGACCACACCCCAGCACGACCACTCCCCAGCACGACCACACCGCCTTGGTTGAGTGGTTGCCTGTCGTCGTGGAATGTTTCGTGGGGTGTCTCGTGGAATGTTTCGCGGGGTGTCTCCTGGAATGTTTCGTGAGGTGTCTCGCGGAATGTTTCGTGAGGTGTCTCGTGGGATGTTTCGTGAGGTGTCTCGTGGGATGTTTCGTGAGGTGTTGCCCCGTTGGGTATCGTGAAAACGTGCCCATGCTCCACATGTCTATATCCCTTTCCGGGTTCGTGGGTCCATCATGTTGGTTGCTTGGGGCCTCATCGGCCTTATAGCCCCCGCCCCCCCCCTATAACGCAACGCCCCTCCCCCCCCCAGTGCGCTCCGGGCACTGCCGCCGTGCGCACGGCGGGGGGGAGGCGATACATTACACCACTCCATACTCCCCCCCCCGTCCCCACCCTCCTATAATGCCCATTCGTATCGTCAAAAGGAAAGAAACGCGCTCTTGCCCACCCTCCGCAGACCACTTCGTCTCCGAGCGCAGAGATTCGAGCTCTGAGGCTTTCGAGCGCTTTCTCGTTGGCTCCCGGCGGCGCTCCGGCCTCGGAGCCCCTCCCGTGCGGCATGCGCCATCTCCGGGAGCGCTCTATACGGAGGTTCCTGCGGGTCCTCCCGAGCAGCCGCCGGAGACCTGGGGAACCCGCTCCGGAGAGGAGCAACGAAGCCAACGAGTACGTGGAGATTTCGGGGAACGAGCAATGGCATGAACATAACAATTCGGGGACAGAAACACTGACATAAACATAAACAATGTCATGGTTTATGTTTATGTCAGACATAAACATAAACCATGACATGAACATAAACCATGACATAGACATGAACGAGAGAGCTCCTGGAGGCCGAAAACAGGGGAACAACAAGTGACATAACCAGACAAACTCGGAGGTCCGCGCGGATTCCTCGGATCCGCGCTGGGCCTCCCGGCGGCGCCTCCGTCGCCGCCCCGGGCGCGCCTCCGCGCGCCAGGCAGAGGGTCCAGCGCGGATCCAAGAGATCCGCGAGGACGTCCGAGTTTTCATTGGTTATGTCCTTGTCCTGGCATCTCTCGGGCGTGTGCCTTCTCCCTTCGGCCAGGGCCGTCGAGGAGCATCCTGGATCATCTGGCGACAGAACCACGCACGAGACCGAAAAAAAAGCACACGGAATGAATGGGCGTCCGAGCGATGGCCAGTTGTTCGTTCCCCCCTAGGACTGTCGGAGAGGCCCGCGCGGTGTCCGCGGACTCGTCGGCGGTGGGCCCCCCCCCCCCCCGGAGCGGCGCCTGCAGCGTGCGCCGCCCGCGCCAGAGGGACCGCTCCGCTCTGGAGGGCCAGGGGGCGAGGGCCACGACCGCAGGGCCCTCGCTCGGCCACAGACTGGTAGGGCCCTGCGGGTGCGCACCGTGGTCTCGCCCTGCGCGGAGGGGGAAGAAGAAAAGCGCTGTCCCGCGCTATAGAGTGTTGAGCCGGCGTCTGTCTGTCTGTCTGTCTCGAAGCGGCGCGACGCCCGCAGGAGAGTTTGCGAGTGCGGTGCGTCGAGTGCCGCAACGAACATAGCCCGGCAGGCAATCGGAAGATTGGGATGAAGGCATCATGGTGGTCATGTCGTTGAGCATGTGGTCCATGGGAATGGTTTCAGGCTCTTGGCGTTCCGATTGCGTCTTGCAGGCGTCCTCGCGGCTCCCTTCGCGGACCTCCACGGGCGAGGGGGCCAATTGCGGTCAGCGTCTGGCGACGGCGTTCGCACCTCCACGGGTTTAGAGGACGCCGCGCGCTTTCATTCGGACAGACACGTGCGTACGGTGTCCTCCTCCTCCTCCTCCTCCTCCCCTCCTCCTCCTCCTCCTCCTCCTCGATCTCCTCCTCCTCATCCTCCTCCTCGTCTCCATTCTTGCCTTCGTCATCATCATTATCATCATCATCCTCCCGTCTCCCATTTCACCCTTCCCTCCGCGATCTCCCCGCACTCCGCATCCGCCACCTCCGCGAGATCGCCTCCATAGAAGAACCGAGCGCGGCTGCGCGTGCTGTGCGTGTATGGCCCGAGGGCGGCTCCGGACTTCTTCGCTCGCATGAGGGGGAAGACCCCGAGAGGCTGGCGAAAGCTGTGGCGGAAGAGCCTGCTGTTCGGCGTCGTGCCCATGTTCTCCGTGCCTTTGGCGGGCATTCAGAGACGCCGGAACGAGTGCCCAGGAACAGGGTCGGGAACAGGGGAAGGGGAAGAAGGGGAGGAGGAGGAGGAGGAGGAGGAGGAGGAGGACCAGGAGGAGGAGGAGGAGAAGGAGGAGGAGGAGGAAGGGGAGGAGGAGGAGGATGAGGAGAAGGAGGAGGAAGGAGGAAGGGGGGAGGAGGAGGAGGAGGAGGAGGAGGAGGAGCAGGAGGAGGAGGAGGGCCGGTAATAGACAAGAGGGCTTACGTCCAGCACCAGAGGGCCGGCAGAAGAGAGACACCCCTCCGCCCAGAAACCGGCCCGTCGAAGAAAAAAACATGGAACAACAAAACAACCAACACACAGAAACGTTGGTCCTCGAGGGAAACCATCGAGAACCAAAACAAGCATGGAAAACACAACACGTCGAGAACGAACACCGATTTTTTTACAACATGCAAGAATGTGGAGAACACACAAACGTCGACCCTCGAGGGCCGAGGGGAAAGCGGAACTGGCGACGGGGGCGCGGCACGGCAGTGGCGCGCGGGCGCCCGCCAGGTGCGGCCCGCCCCCGGCGGCCTGGCCCGCCGAGAGAGGCGGCTGGCGGCCGCTACGGGCTGGCGAGGCCACCGCCGAGAGGAGGCTATACGAGGCCCCCGGGCCTGTTCCTGCCGCCCTGGTCCTCCGCTGCATCCGCCTCTGCGCCTCCGCCTCGTCAGCTCCACCCCCTCCTCCTGCTCCTCCTCTTTCTTCTCCTCCCTCTCCTCCCTCTCCTCCTCCTCCTCCTCCTCCTCGTCCTCCTCGTTCCTCTTCCTCCTCCTCCTCCTCCTCCTCCTCCTCCTGCTCCTGCTGCTCCTGCTGCTGCTGCTCCTACTCCTCCTCCTCCACTCGTTGTCCTTGTAGATAGCTCCTCCCTGTGGCACCCCGAGGCCAGTCGAAAGGGCGTGCCAGGCGTTTCGCCTGAGGCTTCCTCACCACTCATGATCCTGAGGCTAAGAAAATCGCAACAGCTTCACAGATAAAGGCCGGTTGGCTTTCAAACTGTGGTTTTCGCCGTTGCGCCGTTTTCGTTCGTTGTAAAACATTCCGAGAGCTTTGCAGATGGAGGGCGGGTGGATTCTGAATATGTGGTTCTCGCTTTCGCGCCACGCATAGTTTGTTCTAAAAGCCTGCAAGAGCTTCGCTGATGGAGGGCTTGTCGTTTTCAGAATGTGTGTTCTTGCGTTATCGCCGCGCACATGCGTCTTACAAAAAAAAACTAGAGCTTCATGGGATGCAGGGCGGCCCCTTTTCGAATGTGGTTGTCGCTTCAGTGCCGCGCACGTGCGTCTTGAAGCTTTGCAAGGCTTTCACAGATGGAGGGAGGCTCCTTTTCAAAATAGGGCTCTCGCCTTATCTTATCGCCGCGCACATTCGTTTTCAGAGTGCATCACCGTTTCAAGGATTCTCGGGGCCAGCGTCCCAGAAATCATGCGTTGGCACGAGGTCGGACTGCCAGGGCGCAACAGTTACATTGATTCGCGATGTTGATTCCCCAAGAATGGTGTTCTGGCACGACTCCCCGTCGCTAAAACGCAACAGTCATGATGATTCGCGGAATTGAAGTCCCAGGAATGGTGTTTTGGCTCAGTTTCGAATTTTCAAATGGTTTCCTTCCAACGGGGTCTTCCCTGTCAGTGAACATAATCTCTGCAGAGGCAGATCAACAGGGAACTGGGGGGGGACGGTCACTTGCAACATCGTCGGCGAGCCTTCTGTTTACACTGGTCCTCCGCCTCCTCCTGCCCTTCCTCTTCCTCCTCCTCCTCCTCCTCCTCCTGCCCCGAGGGGGGGGGCGGGCCTGGCAACTGTTCTCATGGTGTGCGCGCCCACACTCCTTGCGGTATACCGTCAGAGTGGACTGCATGCGGCGACCGGGGGTAGTTAAACCATCTCGCGCCTTTTGGAACCAGCCACGTGGCATTTTGCCCGTGGCAGCGGCGCTAGCCACGCTCCGTGACCTGGAAATGGGTACCATGCACGGGGGATTGCCCATTTGGTTGAGAGGCGGGGCCGTGTGGCCCGGAAGTCCCATGATGGCTTTGTGCCCGTTCACCCGGGGGAACCAACCCACTTCAGCATGCCAGCTGATTGGCAGGGGTTGCTCGTCGGGAAGTATCTCGCAATGACGAGGTGCACCGACCGTCCCCTTCAGCACCACGCCTTCTCGGCTGGAGGCAAGTCGCTGGGCGACGAGGTAGTTGTCTATCCTCCGCTCGTCGGTGCGCTCGCCTTCGGGCCCGCTTCCTCCCGCAAGGGGGAGGTCGGGGGTGCAGGTTGCCTGCCATTGCGGCCCGCCTGCGTGCCGCGCGCGCCGCGCACTTCCTGGATTCCTGACTCCATGGTTCCTCCTCCTCCTCCTCCTCCTTTTCCTCCTCCTCCTCCTCTTGTTCTTCCTCCTCTCCCTCCTCCTCCTCGTGCTCCTCCTCCTCCGCCTCCTCCCCGCCTCCTCTTCCTCGTCCTTCTCCTCCTCCCCCTCCCTCTCATCCTCCTCTTCCTCCTCCTCCTCCTCCTCCTCCTCCTCCTCCCCCTCCTCCTCCTCTGTTCGGAAGTCCCCAAACGATGTGGCGACCACGCCGTGGGTTTCGTTTTCGCCCTCTCCCTCCTTTGCATCATCCTCCGCTCGAAGAAGAAATTGCGTATACATAAGCTGTCGGAACTCTGCGCGGATGTCTCGGATCTGCGTTGGTGCCCATTGTTGGCGCCGGTGGCGCCGCTCTTGGCGCGCCTGTTGGACCTCCGAAGGCTGATGAGTAATTGCGCAGTTCGTGTGTATTTTAGCCGCCTCCGCCTCCTCCGTTCCTAATCCTCCTCCTCCCTCCGCCTCCTCCTTCCCCTCCTCCCCCTCCTCCTCCTCCTCCTCTTCCTCCTCCTCCTCCTCTCGAGGGCCCCCAGACGATGTGGTGACCACACCGTGTGGTGAGTCAGTTGGGACCGGGCATATTGCAAGGCGTTGGGACTCGGGTCATTATCCGAGTCCACTTCGGGCGATTGGGGTTTCCAAGATTCCAGAATCGCGCGGTGCCGGACCGCGCTGAGAGGTCTCTTGAGATTCCGAGAACACCACGCGGTCCGTCACCACAGGGCTTGGGGGGCCCGTTGTTTCGCCTCCGTCTCTTCCTCCTGCTCCTCCTCCTCCTCCTCGTCCTCTTCCTCCTCTTCCTCCTCCTCCTCCTCCTCCACTGCCCCACCAAGAGGGGGCAACATAATCTCACACGGATCAGGCAGGGTAAGGTCCCGAGCTGCGCAGGTTCGCCAAAGGGGGCCAAGGATGCCTCCCTGATTGTCCAGTCAGGAGTAGGAGCGGCTCCTGTCGAGGGCTCCAAGGGACCTCCTGAGAGCTCTGTCGAGGGCTCCAACGAGGGACCTCCTGAGAGCTCGTAGGGTGGTTGGAGGGACACTGCGTCCCCTTTGTATCTAATATCTCATACCTCCTCCTATTCCTCCTCCTCGTCCTCCGCCTCCTCCTACACCTCCTCCTCCTGCTCTTCTTCCTCCTCTTCATCAGACCCCCTCGCGTCGTGAAGGGGGCACGGCGGGAGGGCTCTCTCAACTTCCGGCCTTTACTGGACCCTCGGGCCGTCATAAGGCAGAAGCCCAGCTCCCAGTGAACGGGTCCAGGCATTTGGGGTCCATGTGGCGAACAAAA